ACACAACACTATCTGAGATGAGGAGTGTAACAAACATGGGCTGCAATCCCCCCAAGAGGTCTGGATGTCCTACCCATTTTCCCAACCCTCAGCCTCATGTTCGTCTTTGGCTCTCGCTCGGCACAGCTTTCAAACGCTACACCGTGGAGTTTGGAGCACCTTGACGCTCTCCTAGAGTCCACCGAGAAAGCCTATAGTGTCGCTCATCCAAGTTGCGACTTGCTGGCCAGTTGTGACTTGCATGTGCTCAAGATGGGCTGTAAGGTTTGACAATGCCACTGCAAACTCCTGCATACGGGACTACAATAAATTCTGCCACACCTTACTCACGGGTCTTTCCATGATTACACCCACGACGGGTCACCCCTACAATAGGGAATCATTTGATTTCAATGACTCTAAAATTGGACGGCCGGTCAAACCTGACCTATATAATTACCTGCGAGGCCCTGGACCCTCCAAAGTCCTCTAGAAAAAATGGTAAACCCCCAGGGCTCCTGGCCCACCTCGGTTTCGAAGATGGTTGGGGTGGGTGCCAGAAAAATCCAACCACCAAACCTGAGGATGTGAGCCAGGAGCCCAAACGGGACCTATCAACCAAAACCTATGTCGACGTCGCCCCAACCGGGAAGGCTTATAACCCGCATTTATGGCCGAGGTCGGAAGACCGCGCGAACGAAGTAATGTAGAACCCCAATCTTTTGGGGCTATCAATCAAGAGTCTACATTCCCTAGGGCTCCAATCATATCCTCAGGTTCGGTGGTTAGACCCCCAAAACCCACCCCAACCATCTTCTCAGGAGGTGGGCCAGGAGCCCTAGGGATTAAACAGCCGCGCTGTGACGCGCTGTCTAAGTGTCGACCGAACGCAGCTTGAGGCCCCAGACCACATGCTTCCCATCGAGGTGCGAGGTTTTCGTCGTGCCTTAAGATACGACGACGGTTTCTCGTGCTGCGGCACGTCACTTGGAGTCACTTAGAGTCCACGTTTTTGTTCCTCCGAACTCCCCGCGTCGAAGTGGTTTAGGCACCCAAAGACCCTGCACCTTTTGGACAGGTTGGGTCTGGCTGATCAGTGGGTCTGGCGCCAGCGCTGAGATGGTCTGGCTTTCGCCCATCTGACGTCCGGTTTCCAGGCGTCTCATCACCCAACTCCAATGGATTCCACCTCTCTATCGACTGAAGAAGCTCCCAGCCATCTGAAGGGATCCCTTCTTTTTGCGGGGTGAAGTCTCATCGCTGCATCGCACGTCGCCAGATCGGCGGATCCCCAAAGGGCGGACCGGAACCCCCGTGGTGACCGCCGAACGCGATGCGCATGGCCCAAGATCGCGAGCTCGCGCATGGCCCAGTGGCACAAGAAGAACTGCGAACCGTTGGTGTTGGGCCCCGCGTTGGCCATTGACAGCACACCAGGTCCAGTGTGCTCTAGCTGGAAGCCTTCCTCGGAGGGTTTTTATATGGTGAGCTTGAAGAAGGGTCAAGTCTATACGGTCTGTTTGAGGCCATTGGGGTCATTCTGTGTAGAATGTCTTCTCACCAAATCCGCCAAATCCCATATTTTTTGCTGTTACATCATGTTTTTACATCATGTTACACAAGGCCGAGGAGCTCGAACCGGGGCTTTGGAAGGGTGCAAAGCAAAGGGTATAGGCTATAGGGAACTGGCCAATATCAAAAAAAATGGTTCTCACAACATTCCTCGAAATGTTTGTCGAGGTCGAGTCGAGCTTTCTTTGCACCCAGCCAACAAATCTGTGGAATGCAAAGCACCTTGGCAGGGAACCTCATTATGCGTTAACTCTTGAACATTTAAGGCAAAATGCTCGGTGTTGTTTGAGAAACCACAACTGAACACCTGGCATTCTTCGGAGCTGTGTTGCTCTACTGAAAAATACAGAAAAAAAACTGCAGAGTCTGTCCATCAAAGCCCGGAGAGAGACTGGCGCTGTTTCTAACAGACTGGTGCTGTCATGGCTGCCATGGCTCGTCCTCGAACTTCTCCCCGTAGATGGACTTGCCACCTGCAAGGACTCACCGAGCGTGTTGGAAGCACCAATTGGTCGTCCGAACACTGCAGTTAAGACAATGAGGGAAGCTCCTGAGATATGGAGATATGGTTGCACATTGCAAGTCGAGTCTACCTCTAACGCAACAACTTGTTGATTTTTTTGATTATGACAAGAAAAGGTCCACAAATCGTGCAAACACAAGCACCACAGGAGAGTGTCGTCACAAAGGCAACAAACATATAGCCCATACGCATGCCACTAAATAGCTACTCCAGGTTGTGCAGTATAGACTGAGTCCTTGTAGAGGTTTCACAAAGATGTTAGAAGAAAACTGTGTTTTTGGATTAAAACGAACTGTCCTCAATTCTCAGAGGTCAGACGGTTGCAGGGGTGCGCTGCCCTCACATTGGCCCGCTGCAGCGGGGCTTTGATCCATTCAATCCATACTGATCCATGTTTTGAACACTCATGTACGTTTTACGGCATGGCGAGCCTGCCAACTAAAATCAGAACATTGCATATATATGTGAAACACAATTCTTTTCACTTGGACCCAAACATGCACGTGTTTGCTTAAAAACAAGGACTTGACTTGAAATACCAAACCCTAGGATTGGTATTATAGGTGGATTCTGCTATAACACTTATGAAACTGCAGGCATAAATCAGCACAAAGGGCTGTCTTGTCGGAACGCCCATAGAACATACCTCGCAGGTCATCGCCTTTCTAGCGACGCGTGACGAGGGGAAATCCAGTCCAAATGCAGGGGCACAACCAGCCGTTCTGTTCTTAGTCCAAACAACTGTCCTAACTCATTCAAAATTATCTACCCAAATCTAGCGAGCATCTGAAGACTATCAGCTACGAGATGTTTTTCAACAAATACCTCCTGCTTGCGCAACTTTATGACACCAGCACTGCACACCCGACGCTGCAGCCAGCCTGTGCCGTTGTGGTTTGTGAAGTCACCACCTCTCGTCGCGTCCCCGGTACAAGCTGGTTTGCAGGGCTACACCGGCTACACCTTAGTCAAAGCTGTTTGCAAGATGCTCGGAACCCTTCCTACTATGGGCCATGGGCTGTGACCATAAGATGGGTCGATATGCCGTTTGCGAACCCAACAAAGGTATCCTGATCAAGAGAAACAGACCGGCCATTCGGGCGGCATTCCACGGCGTTGCAAGCTTTGGCCTGAGACCAAAGACGTGAATGTCTGTAGCGTAACAAGTGCATCGCTTCGTTCGTAACAAGTGCCTTACTAAGTAGTAACAAGAAGCTCGCTATTAGAAAACAAAGGCATCGCTACTAGTAAGAAGTGCTACTACTTTGACCCACAAACATGTACAATTTGGGTCCATCAGGTCAATCCGGTCTCCTCCCCCACGCGGCTCCTCCCACCTTGACACATGAAGTCAGGGATCACCCGATGGAAGGTGCTCTCCTGGCGACTAAAGAGCGCCCCATGGCGGGCGAGAGCCCCGCCCCGGCGACAGAACGTCTGGAGTCTATACCTGGACCATCCTGTCGGGAAATCCTTGTCAGGAGTGTAGGGTGTACGTTAGATATCGGTAGATCATGGTAGATACAACACATTACAACATGCATATGGGTTGCGGGGCTGGAGACATCACGTCTTCCTATTCCAATATACAGTGATACCTAAATGGCTACCTGGGTCATGGACCTCCAATCGAAAATTGATTGCCAGGCCAAGTTTTGTTATGAATAGTGCAGGAACAGGGTGATATGACCCATGATCAGGAGAACTTTTGACACGTGCTTTTCCCTAGTTCCGTAGCATATTCCATGTCCGTATGCTCTTCATGCGGTCGTTGCACGCTTGATAGCAGGGTGGGAGTTCCGCCAAAATCCTTCAGCTTCTCAGAAATGCTTATATAAGCTCAAGCAGATCTGGCCTTGATTGGTGTCTATTTGGGCAAACTCCTGGCAAGTTGTACTGGTTGGCAACAAGTAAGAACTTCTAGGCTTCCAGGCTAGCCCTACTTCTCTGGCCATTGACTTCTGTTAAAGTGAATGAAACCCTGTCCGCGAAGGGGTTGAATACATTGTATCCCCATGTCATCATTGCACAGGTCTACTTCTTCCCGGCCGAAAAAGGCCCTGCCACCTGGCATACTGTGGGGGTCACCAACACAACCAGAAGGGGGTGCTCCTGTGGTAGGCCCTCAGGTTCTCAGGCAGATAGGTCTTCTACACAAAGCAGTGAGGTCCAATGTTCTTTGCACCCAATAGCGAGTTTCACGATGGAAGACGTGGAGCTGGAACTTTCATAAAAACAACATAAAACATGTAATATCATGTAATAATAGCAATTGTGGCGTCCTTCAAACCCTTGTTCAAGGCCCTTGTTCTATCTCAGATTTGCAGTTTGGTCCAGTGGCCATCTCTCATATGTAGGCAATATATAAAATTATTATACAATGTAATGAACATCTCCAAACATGTTTCTTCTATTTGAGTGGAAGTCTACTGGGAGAACTCTTCCAAGTCAATTCAATAAATTTGACTTCACCCAAGATGGCATCCAATGTACCTTTGCACTGGGATGGCTCTTCCACAAGATGGACCCAAGCAATTTGACTTTGCCCAACTCATCTACCTGCTTCTCACCGTTGAAGTGGTGGCCTACGGGCATCCGCATCTATTCAGGTTGGGCTGTGGGTCAAAGACATGGTCCCAGTGATGAGCCCAAAGAGATACGAACTCAAGAACTTAAGAACAGTGACAAGACCTCTTACCAGAACTTAAGAATTTCTATGCAATTCTCCAATTCCCACTGGTTTTGGTCTCTGCAAAGCCTTAC